TCCCTTGGAGGAGCCACACAGCCCTCTTCCCCCACCCAACAGTCCCCTACTCCCTATACCTTGTGTCCCCTCATAGTCCTCCATAATTGTACAGAGCCCTGCATACCACCACCACCACCACCCAGCATCATATCACAACTGCCCAGCATGTCACACAGAACCCGCACTCCCTAGTACCCCCCATGAAGGTCTCCCCTACCCTCATTGCCCAGCATCCTTTCCCACAGACCCACCACCACAACTACACAGCACCCTATATGGACTCTGCCACTGCCAAGCACCCTAATGCACACAAACCTCCAATACCTCCCAGCTCCCCCCAACAGACCCTCCCACTGCTTAGCACCGCAAAACACACAAACCTCCACCAGGGCTCAGTTCCCTCCACCCCCTCACAGTCCAGCACTCCCTAGGGCCTAGGGAGTACACAGAGACTCCCTCCTCCTCCCTGCCAGGTCGGGTGTTAGGGAGCAGGGCAAATGATGCTTGGGAGCACAGAACAGTCCCATCTCCGAGGTCTCCACTCCACCCTGCCTGCCTGATGCTGGTGGTGCCTGGGGCGGAGGAGCCGTTTTCTTACAGGGACCTGGGGGTGGGGGGCAGATGCTGACTTCCTCAGCCGGCTGCTTTGGCAGAGAGAGGTTGATCAAGAGAGCCTGGCACAGTGTCTGAGGGCCCTTCTCTGCCCCCAGCCAGCCGACCACAGGCCAAGATGAGCAGTGGGAGTGGGGAATGGCCAGGAGGTGGCAAGGAGCCAGAGGCACAGAACAAGTAGATTTAGTCAGGGCTGGGGCTCCTTGTGAGTGTGGGCCTGGCCCTATGGCACTACTGTGTGGCACTATGGTGTTGCACCATCACACCTGCTCCCTTGTCTCCCCCCCGAGTTCCCATTGATCCTTTCCCCTCCTACCCACCAACCCCTCCACAGGCTCACCTCTGGCCTGGCTTTCTTGAGCCAGGCAACACAGCTCCCCCCAGTGTCCTGAGGGAGCAATGGCAGTTGCTTCCCTACAATTCATCTGGAATCGGCAGCTTGGACACAGGCGAGCACATGTTAGGATGACATTTGGCCACTCTACTGCGTGGTGAGTAATAATTTGATTGGCAGATTCTCAGTGATGCAGTTATTAAATTCCAGCTAATGATTAAGGTTTCAAACGACCAGAATCTAAACAAACAAAAGCATCTTCCCGTGTTTAAATCTCTTTTATATCAAAGTAACCACTCGGCAGCTGATTTTTATATTACTTGTGGCAGTCTCAAGATTTTACATCCCATAGCTGGAACTATCTGCTTTCCAAAAATGTACTGATGTGCTCCCTGATTGTTTTGTCTGTGTTATATGTTAACAGCTGTGAGTCAAACACACAGCAAATAGATATTCCTTTTCAAGGCTTCAGATTAGAAAGGTGCAGGGATTGACTTCACTTGATGTTAATGGGAACTTAGAGTACCCAGAACCTCACAGGATTTTGCCCTGAAATTAGTTGTGTGGCCAGACCCAGATCTTATTACACTGAGACAAGGCTGGAGTAACTCCGCATTTCAGCGGAGGCACTAATTTTTCCACTAGTTTTACTAAGATCTGAATCTGCTTCGCTGAAACCTTATTGCTCACGTTTGTAATGTATCAGTTCCCATCACTAATTCAAGGCAAGAGATAGCTCTTTGACACAAGCAGCTATAGTAAACAGATTAATCCCTCGGTGTCATTGTAAATGTGGGTTGACTTAAATCTGAGCCAGCAGTGCTACAAATATTTCCTGTGTAGGTCTCTGCTGCCTGGCAATATAGTAGACGAGAAATTTTTAAACAGGGATTCACTTCTCCATGTCCCACAGCTGTGTTCAGTGCTGGTAGTGGGGCAGCTTGCTGTGTCACACCTGCATCAACCCCTTGTCTGAGCTGCTCTCATACAGTATGAGGGGTGCCCTGAAAAGTACAGAACCCTGTAAGCTGTTCCAACTACCGAGGGACAAGGAGTAGCTGGGCTATGAGAGGCCAGATCTACAAATGTAGGGTCAGATTTTTAAAGGTATTTAGATGCCCAAAGATGCATATAGGCATCTAGCGTGATTTTCAAAAGCCTTTTGGTACCTATCTGGTATAGACTGAAAACTTCTATCCGGTGGTCACAGCCTGCCTATCCTCATCTGTATTCAACTGCGAGGAATATTTTGATTAAAACCCTAATACTATATAAAATTAACATGGCAGACTGTAGTGAGTCAGCATAGTCACCCACTGACCCAGAAGGTGAAGTCCTCCATAAGAATCCTTGGTGGGCAGTGCCTGACACACCCAACCCCTCCCCCAGGAAGTGGAAGGATGGAGCTGGGACTATAAAAACAGAGCTGGAGAGTTCAGTTGGAGCTCAGTGGACAGGCAGGCCAGATGCTCTCACTGGGCTCCCTAGAAGGGAGGGCTGACAGCCAGCCTCCCCCAGGGATAACTGGATAAGACCCCTGGGACTGCTGCCTAACCCTAGGGATGAACCAAGGCCTTGCCGAATTCTCCCCAGCACTGAGGCATCGCTGAGTGGACTGGAGTGAGCATCCGGCTTGAGGACCACGACTGCATTGCCAGGACCCCATCAGGACCTAGGCCCCGAGCCCATGCATGCCCTGACAACACCGGAGGGCCTGAGATGCTGGCTGGCCGGGTAGGACCCTAGGGGGTATTAGGAAGCAGCCCAGGGAAAGCCGACATCCCATCAGCTGATGAGATGGAGGTTGGGTGGGCAGCGCATTGTGGCTGGGACTCTGGCTGACCCACCAACCCTGTCACTGGATTGCAGCTTGGATCCCTGCTGACTGAGTGGCCACCTGCACTGCCACTGCTAGGGCCCCGGGCCGGGACACGGTGGAGTAGATAGGGCCCACATCTCCTCTCTCCTCCCCCGCCACCTCATCACCTGGGGTGGCAGGTTCCCCCTGTAGGGGAACCCCCTCTCCCCTGTGCTTGTTGGTTCTCTGCTGAGCTAGGAGAGCTGACCCTCAACTCAGCCTGCAACCAGGCCTGAGCGATCGGACTACTATAAACTTTGTGTAAATGTGCTGCCCCGCCCTGACCTAGGGCCATGGCCGATCAGACTACTATAACCTTTGTGGAGACTCGCAGCCCACCCTGACCCAGGGCTGTGGGCGTTACACTGCTCTAGACTTTGTGTAGATTTGCAGCCCACCCTGACCGTGGGCTGTGGCCACCCCAAACTGTCCCAGACTCTAGGGGTGGCTGCCATAGCGATTCAGACTGGTACACAGACATTAACCAGATTAAAAACTGGCTAACTGATACATCTCAAAATGTAATAAAAAATGGGTAGTCAACATTGAATATGTGTGTGTTTTACTAAGGTCCTCCAGAGATCTGTTATTGGCCCTACGCTATTTAACATCTTTATCAATAACCTGGAAGAAAAACTAACAACATTTGCAGATGACACAAATAGGGGAGTGATAAATAATTAAGACATGTCACAAATCCTGAATGATCTGGATCTCTTAGTAAACTGAGGGTAAGCAAACAGTATGCCTTTTAATATGGCTAAATGTCAATGTATACATGTAAGAATGAAGGCTGTACTTACACAGTAGGGCACTCTGTCCTGGGAAGCAACAACTGTGAAAAGGATTTGGGGTTCATGGTGGACAGTCAGTTGAATAGGCATTCCCAGGCAGTGTCTAGACTGGCAAGTTTTTCCGCAAAAGCAGCTGCCTTTGCGGAAAAACTTGCCAGCTGTCTACACTGGCCGCTTGAATTTCTGCAAGAACACTGACGACCTCATGTAAGAAATCAGTGCTTCTTGCAGAAATACTATGCTGCTCCCATTCAGGCAAAAGTCCTTTTGCACAAAGCTTTTGTGCAAAAGGGCCAGTTTAGACAGCTCAGATTTGTTTTGTGCAAAAAAGCCCCGATCGTGAAAATGGTGATTGGGGCTTTTTTGCGCAAAAGCGCATCTAGATTGGCACAGACGCTTTTCCGCAAAAAGTGCTTTTATGGAAAAGCGTCCATGCCAATCTAGACGCTCTTTTCTGCAAATGCTTTTAACGGAAAACTTTTCCGTTAAAAGCATTTGCGGAAAATCATGCCAGTCTACACGTAGCCCCAGTGTGACAACGAAGCTAAAGTGCTAATGCAAGCCTGGGATGCATGAACAAGAAAATCTAAAGTAAGAGTAGAGAGGTAATTTTAGATATGTTTGGCACTAGTGTGACCTCTGCTGGAATACTGTGTTCAGTTCTGGTGCCCACAACTGAAGATGAATTGATAAAGATTCACAAAAGAACCAGGAGAATGATTAAATAATAAGAACACATGCCCTATAATGAAAGACTACTTGATTACATTCTGTAAGTACTTATGTGGGGAACAAATATAAAAGGCTCTTCAAACTAGCAGAGGAAAGATAACAGGATCCAGTGGCTCAAAGTTCAAGCTAGACAAATTCAGACTGGAAATACAATGTAAATTTGTAATGGTAAGAATAATTAAACATTGCAACAGTTCATGAAGTGTGGTGGTAGATTCTTCATCACTGAGCATTTTAAAATCAAAGATTATGTATTTTTCTGAAACATCCACTCTAAGAATTATTCTTGGGAAGCTCTATAGCCTGTGGACACAGTCAGACTAGATCACAATGGTTTCTTCTAGCCTTGAAATCTATGAATCTGCATCTTCAGGTGATTAAATACCATATGGTCCTTAGTGTGCCCTGAGTTGCTGCTTATATGGTCCATGCCTAATGCTGTCCCAGACTGTAATCAAATATTTAAGCACATCCACTGAGATATTGTTTGATTGTAACATTAATGGTTCCATGTTAAACCTCCAGCAGTCAGGCAACTCAGAATTAAAGATGCCAGGGAAATGTAACTGACTCCCTTTGCATCTCTGCTATTAAAATCAGCTTATTCCTTTGATATCACTCACAATACTGGGCAGTCTGACATATTTACCATGTTTTATTTATTTGACAAATATGGATTAACCATGTGCAACATACACATTTCACATATTAACTACCAAGAATTATTTGATTATACAGGTACATTGAACTATCCTGCTCTCAGAACATTCAGTAGTGGGGCATACCAGTAGGAAATGATTTCTTTGACACAGAATCAAGAATAAACTATATATTTCATGTCTATTACATTTCAAACAGAAAAAACTATTGAACTTTATAAGTAACTTAATTCCTCTTCCCAAACACAGTCTTTCTGCCCATGCAGATCTTCCATATTTACTGAATATTTGGAATTCCAGTCTCGTTCAAAAAGATTTTTTAATTGTTCCTGTATAACTGGCTTCTTTCTTTGAGGATCTGTTGACGTCTGGTTGATAATCAGCCCAACTCCAGCAGTAGTACTAAAGTAATCTTTAGACCAATTGGAAGTCCCTACAGGATAGAAATATTGATGGTTAACAAGAAAAAATTTTATTTCAAGTATTTTGTTGGCCAGAGGCAGAAATGGGAGACGGGACATTGAATAAAATTTCAAGACTGGAGCCTAATGTTAGACTCTTCAAAACATATTTAATGCACCTCTATAAAAGTGGACTGATCTTTAGAAATGTGCTACAACAGGCCTGCACAACATATGGCCCGCAGGCCACATGCGGCCCGCAGGGGCTCACTGTGTGGCCTGTGACCAGCACCGGATTAAGGGGCAGGCTAGCAAGACAGGTGCCCAGGGTGCCAACCTATGGGGGGCACTACAACACCGCAGCACCCAGAGTCACTCCGCCACGCGGTGCATGCCTGCTGCACTGCCACGTGGATAGGACTCCCCGACCCCGGTCTCCTCTGCCTGCCGCGGAGGGCAGAGAGGCTGGGAGTGTACTGGGGCCGGACTCCCACTGCGCCACGTGCCTGCCCAGCCAGATTTGCCTCTGCTCGGCGTTTGAGTGCTCCGGTCTGCCCAGACCCTGCGCTCAGTCAAGCGCGGAGGCGCTGCTTCCAGGCGCCTGCTGCAAGAGAGATCCTGGCACTGGCAGGTGAGGCCAGGCAGGGGGGGGGAGCCCGCCGCGCTCCGTGAAAGTGGGAGGAGGGTTGAAGGCCGGACCAGTTAAAAAAAAAAATGCTCCCGTGGGGGATGGTGGGAGGGAGGGAGCAGAAGCAGCACCCCCCCTCCCCACCTCTGCTCCTCAGTGCGAAAGGGGGCCCGGGGTGGGGAGAGGGGGGCGGGCTGGCCGCTCCCCGCTGCCTGGAGCTGAGATGGAGGGTGTGGGGAGGGAGTGCCCCCTTTTCCCAATGCTTCCTCTTGATCCTCTCACGCTTCCCGCAGTGTAGAGGCCGCAGGCAAGGGGAGGGAATGGACACTCTGTATTCATAAATACAAATTTAAATAATTAAAATACATAAAAATTAAAATCATTAAAAAAAGTATTTGTTTGATTTAATTGAAAAATTCTTAAGTATCAACGCCCCCTCTCCCCCAAACCTACCCTTGCAGCTAGGGTTGCCAGGTGTCCAGTTTTCTACTGTACAGTCCAGTATTTGCATGCTCTGCCCAGTAAAAAAATTCAGAAAAAATCAGATATGTGCAATGTCCGGTATTTTCTGAATTTCCAACTGGGCACTGGACGGATGCCTGGTGGCACCTCCTGTGGTTGCATGTTGAAGCCAGGTGGTGCAGGTTTTTTTTATGCCTGACACACATTTTTAGACCGTGTGTTCGGTATTTTTTGGGAGAGCAGCTGGCAACCCTACTTGCGGCCCGCAGCTGTTTTCTTTGGAATAATATGGCCCTTGCCTCTTTCCAAGTTGTGCAGGCCTGTGCTACAACCACAAATGCCACTAAAGTCAATGGGAGCTGCAAGTCACCAGCTCTTTGAAAATCAGGCCAGCTTTTTCTCATTTGAGGGTTCCATTACAGACAAGCAACTTTAAGTCACCTGGAGGCTCTTTAGGAGTCCCTATTGGGGTATGTCTACACTGCAGAGGTTTTTCTGGAAAAATGGACATTTTTCTGAACAAACTTCACTTACGTCCACACTGCAATCACGTTCTTTTGAAAAAAAAAAATCTTAAGAACGGAGGGGTTTTTCTGACATTGATAAACATCTTTCTACGAGGAAGAAGCCTTTTTCCGAAAGAGCTCTTTTGGAAAAAGGCATCTGTGGATGGGGAAGAGGGAGTTCTTTCAAAAGAAGGGGAAAGAGGAAAAAGCACAGGTGCCTTGGTGGGCACTCCATCCATAGTAATCACAGCTTAAATGCGAGATAGTATCCACGCTGAATGGACACTATCTTTCAAAAAAGCAGATCGATTTTTTTTTCAATGCGCTTTTGCTGTGTAGATGCTCTTTTGGAAGAAGCTTTTTAGGAAGATCTCTTCCAGAGAAGCTTCTTCTGAAAGAAGCCTGCAGTCTCGACATATCCTATATGATGGAGGTTGTAGCAGAGATGAACTGAATGGACCCATTTTAGAAATAGGAGCAAGTCTCACGAAGTTTGGATGTGGGGAGTGTTCAGGTCTGATATTTTGGTTCAGGCCCATATCTCATACATGTATTTCACTTTGCTTGTGTTCTCTCTCATACTCATGGTATGGGTGTGTGTGTGTGTGTGTGCGTACACACACTTGCAGCCTATTTCGGAATAGGGCTGCAAGTGTAGGCATTCAAAATTGCAAATCAAGCCCAGGATTTAAATATCCCGCGCTTGATTTGCATTTTCCTGGCCGGGCGCCATTTTTTAAATTTACAAGCCCGGAATAACTGCCCGTGTCTACATGTGGCATAACTACCTGTTATTCTTCCTGCAATGAGGTTTAACAGGTAGTTTGAAATAGGGCTTTATTTCGAACGCCCATTTCACTGCCGCGTGTGGATGCAGGCAGTTATTCCGGGCTTGTAAATTTAAAAAATGGCGCCCGGCCAGGAAAATGCAAATCAAGCGCGGGATATTTAAATCCTGGGCTTGATTTGCAATTTTGAATGCCTACACTTGCAGCCCTATTCCGAAATAGGCTGCAAGTGTGTGTACGCACACACACACACACACACACACCCTTTTCTATGGGCAGTGCCTTAGCTATCCAGTGACAATGCAATCTCTGCCACGCTTTTAAACCATCAGAAGAAAAAGACTAAAAAAAATATGCCTTGCAGCTGAACTTTACTTATTACAAATAAACGGGGTCTAGCCCAAGGATGGGCAATAAGTGGCCCGTGAGTTGGCTACAGTTTGCTGGCTGACAGATGCTTTATCTGAGCTTTTGCAGGTACAGCCATTTGTCTCTCCTGTTAGCCTCAGTTCGCCATTCCCAGCCAATGGGAGCTGCAGTAATTGATGGCCCAATCAACACTGCTTCCTGCAGCTTCCATTGGCCAGGAATGGTGAACCATGGCCAAAGGGAGCTGCAAGTAGCCATTCTTGTGGAAGCTCATGTAAAAAAAAGTACCTAGCAGCTCGCCAGCGCTAACCCTAACCCTTGCATATTGCATCCAGCTCCCAGGCCTCTTATAGCCCACCTCCTGGTGTAGGTGAATACAACATCCACAGCCACTGCGTGCTACACATGTGTCGATGCTATTCACTAGATGTCTCTGATCAAGGCAGGGATCCATCTGAACGTGGTGGTTTGTTTGGTTGGGTTTTTTTTGAGGCTCAGTCAACACAAAGCACTGAGCACTGTGAATTTATCAAATTTTCAGCACGTAGGGTTTTGTGACTGGTGGTCTCACTCAGACAAATCTCCCAATCATTCCAAGAGGTGCTTTGGGCAGAAAATAAATTCTCTTTGTAAATACACCTCTCTTTTGAAGAATACTCAATAGGACAATCAATACTGATAGGGTGGTGAACTTTGTGACCTCTTCCATCTCTTACTCTTATGTAGGATTCTAATATAGGAATGAGATCTCAACATCACCAATGTGGTGGTTGATAATTTAGGGTCTCTAAGGCCCCTGTATCCTCTACTCCAGTCCTGGAATACTGCTTAAACAACTGGGCAATGGATTCCACATATTAAGCTTTTTGTTAAAGCCAAATAATATTTTCTTTCCTGGAATACTAAGTGTCATTGCAAATATCTAAGTACACAATTTATGAGATTACTGAGAGTACTTGACAATAACATGAATCTCTGCTCTTTCAGGGTCATGATCTCCTCTACTTCATTTTTAATGATTCACAAGCCAATAAAATAATCTCTTGCTGAATTTACCCTATATTCTTTTCCCTCCATCATGTCTTTAGTCTTTTATCCAGTGCAGATATTTTGCTCAAGGTATCTGCTATACGTTTCTGACCTCTTCATGGTGAATTTAGCTAACATTTGACATGACACCCAATCGAATTTCTACTCCGTCCCAATCCTGTAGTCCTGATCATGTCTTAAAACAGGACACTTACCAACATATGCTACTTTATCAGTGACCATATATTTGTTGTGATTCACTCTCCCAAAAGGGATGTTTGTGTGATTCAGGACTGGAACAATAAAGATTTTCTGCAAGGAAAATAATTACGAATCATACAAAGAATTACTGGAGTGAAGCATAAATTATATTATTGGATGCTGCAAACTTTCCTGGTTTTCAAATAAGTCAACATAGAATAGAATATTCAAAACTATGGCTTTAGATCGTTTTGATATTTTGCTATTATCCCAGAAAGTTAACTTGGACAAACTAATGATTCCACTCTGAGTAAAACTGTTTGAGACAGTGTGATCAGATAAGGATAATATGTACTTCACAACATTCCATCTGTAAAAGAGCTATCACATTACAGTAAAAAAAAAATTAATACAGTTTAGACAGCTGTTTAATAGTGTTATTATTCTGCATTTATCATTGATTGTTGCAGCATTACTGTACAATGGAATCAGCTGATCTCAGACAGAGTGGAATTGAAAAGAGCAAGAGTGCCTTACAATTTTTTTACTTTAATTAAAAATTACATTTCAAGTCCTTGTTTGTTATCTTCCCTGCTAAAAGTCCAACCATTTTGATTCTTATTCACCTCTATGCATCTACCTGCACCAAGCTTGGAGCTTCCCATGGCCAGGGATTTCACCTTAGTTTCTATATCCATCTCTAGGAATTATTTAGTGTCATTTGCAGAGAGGTAACCAGCGAGAAATCCCATTCATAAAAGTGGGAGTGGTGAGACTGATTAGATAAAGTGTAATTTCCTAACCATGCCACCACAGAAGGATAATGCAGTGAAAGTTGGCAGAGGGTGAGAAGTAGAGCTTGTTACTTAGCCTATCATAACAATTGTAATGAGTCATCTGTTCTTTGTAGATATTTTTGCATGTGCGTTAATATTGCAAACTGAAATAGTTACAGCCATTGTTTCCTAGAAGAATGTCGTCATCATGACAAATCATACAGAGATGTAGATTCCTTGCAAATCAAGTGCCACCTAGCTCAGTTTAAGTCCTTAACATGGTCTGGTTGTATATTAACTTTACATCTATCACTGGCAATCAGATTGTACCTCTAAAGTTTTTGGCAACTACATAATCACCAGCCATATACTGGCATTCCTAGGTAAATATGCTTCATAATTCTCTGGTCTTCCATCCTAATAGGTCCATATTAAGAATGCTACTGAAATCAAACTAGTGCTGATGAAAGTGGTTGCTGGGTTGAAGAATAACATCACGTAAACCCAAATTTCAAAGGTCTATTGCTGCAAGGTCTGTAATCAAATGTGTATGCACATGTATTTATAGACAGTGTTTTACATTTATACACATGTTGCAGTGCCTGCTTGAAAAATATCTTTTTAAAAGGATGGCCATTATGATGTTATGCCAAAAGATTGTTCTTATCTTACCACATCTATGGTGATGTTGGTATGTGGATCACTGAGTGCACGAAGTGACTGCAAGTAATGGAACATAGATGGGTCAGTGTGGAGCCAGCAGCTGATCAAAAGCCTGATTTGCACATTGTGGTTGAATGCCACACGTCTCAGAGCATTGTCAATGTCGGGCCAGTATCTGTAGGAATGCAAGTAAATGAACAGAAGAATACCTTCAGAGAAAATTGAGACAAACATCTAATACCACATTGATAAGAAAGTAACTACAGTAATAATAATGTAAGTTTGGATCAAACCTTTGAAGTTACTACCCTGTCAAAGGCAATGGGGACCTCTGGGGGGAAAACCAGGAGTCATTCTGCCAAACAGTGGTGGGCAACCTGCAACCCATAGTCTGTATGTGGCTCATCGGGATTCAATGAGTGGCCTGCCAGACATGTCATTCCCTGTTGCCCACATGCAGAGTTGCTAGAGTCCACTGCTTTCTGTCCATGTCATTTTTTTCCCCCTTACCAGTATTACTAAAGTGACAGAGATGTAGATCAGGCACATTGACATTGCTAATGAAGCAGGGATTTAAATATCCCCTGCTTCATTAGCATAAACATGGCCACCGCTTTTTCAAAATGTAGTTTTTTGGAAAAAAACGGCAGTCTAGACACAGATCTGTTGAAAATAAACCCTTTTTCGACAGATCCTGTAACCTCATTAGCAATTTCGATGTGCCTAATCTACATCTCTGTCAACAGAGGGATGCAGTCTAGATGTAGCCTATGAGAGTTGTGTACGCTCCCTCTGCCTCCAATCTAAGTGCTGCTACGGTTCAATCGACACACCCCACAAATGCTAGGTACACAAGCGCAATTATATCGGGGGAGACTGCCTTAGTTACAACTATCTTGTGACCCCACTGAGATGGAGGGATACTCATGCAGCTCACTCACTAGCCTAATTTATAATTAATGAACCCTTGGGTATGAAAACAGAAGCTTGGTTCCTTCCGAGTTCAGCTGCCTCAGCTGCTTCTTTCTGCCTAATCTAAACTAATCAGCCTTACCGCTCTTTGTAACATGACATCTGGATACTGGGGAGATTTCCAGGGGCTCAATCCTGCATTCCCCAGACCTCAGACATCTATTTGCATTAGATCAGGCCCCCAGAGAACACAAATGGGAGATTAAGGCTTCAAGTAGAGAATGTGTAATGTTAAGAAATGGCAGGGGTTGGGCAGAGTGGAGCCTATTTCCAGGCAAATATTCCAGGCAAAAAGAGAAAAGACATACAAAAAATCAAATATATGACACAAACAGAATTTTCCCCCATCTGAATTGCAAAACTATCCATCAGGCGGAAGTGCAGGTCTGGGCAAAATACGGCCCACGGGCCAGATCCGGCCCACCAAGCCACCAGGTCCAGCTCTCAGAGGCAGCAGGAAGCCACAGGTAGGTTCCCCTACTTGCCCCGCGCACCATGCAGAAACGCAGCTGCAGGGCTCCATTTCTGTTTTAAAACTGGAGGGGAGGGGAGAAGCTTTAGGAGCCGCTCCACCCCCAGCACATTCCCATTGACCTGTTTCTGGAAGAAACCGCCAACGGGAGCTGCTTGTTAGAATAACAGGCAGCTAAGAAGAATCATGCCCCCTCTCCTTGTTGGGATTGAAAGTTTTATTCTTTTTTTTATATTTGTATTTTAGGTTTAGTAATGTAAGGTAATAGAATCATATTAATATTATATTCTTATTATTTAATTTTGTAGTAAGTCAAATCCTTTAGTTTAGAACAAGGAAATATAAGAGATATATACTTAAGTGTAGTGAGTAAAGAGAGAGGCTGTGTCTAGACTGGCATGATTTTGTGGAAATACTTTTAACGGAAAAGTTTTTCCATTAAAAGTATTTCCGCAAAAACGCATCTAGATTGGCATAGATGCTTTTGCGCAAAAGCATCCGTGGCCAGTCTAGACGCGATTTTGCGCAAGAAAGCCCCGATCACCATTTTAGCCATCTGGGCTTTTTTGCGCAAAACAGTTCTTCCCTGTATTCTTGCGCAAGAGGGCTTTTTCCCAAGCGGGAGCGTGAAAGTATTTGCGCAAGAAGCACTGAATTTGTACATTACAAAGTCAGTGCTCTTGTGCAAATTCAAGCGGCCAGTGTAGACACCTAGCAAGCTTTTGCGCAAAAGTGGCCGCTTTTGTGCAAAATCTTGCCAGTCTAGATGCACCCATCGAGTTTTGATATTGTGTCTGTGTTAATGAGACTAGAGGAATGTTGAAGGCTAAGGCCTTAATTGTTTGATTTACAATGCCGTTTTGCTTTGCCCAGTGCAGATACTGAAGTTATGCTTTTCCTCGAGAGTAAAAGATTGTTTGTGTGAAAGTGGTATGTACGTGTCGAGATAAAGGTGCAAAAGTTATTGCTCAGAACCATATGGCCAAAGAAGGAGGGGTGAGCGTGGGTAAAAACTAGACTATCCGGCATCAAAGAACCACCATATATAACCATCGATGCATACCCCTACTCACAGGATGATTGGATTAGTGGCAGATTAAAGTGGAGCTAGCACCCCTGAAAGATGATTGATTACACGATGAGCTTTGGAAATGTTTTGGGAACACTGATATCAAAAAGATAACACTCCAGGCACAGGCTGACACAGCAGAATCCATAGACTTCAACAGAGAAAAGGATTATAAAAGCAGGGTGCTTTGCTGTGGAACTTCGGGTTTGTCTTGCCACCAACTCCAGAGGAGCATTGGATCGATCGACCGACAAAGGCCCTGCTCTCCCTTTGTGATCGATCTAACTGGCCACTGCCTCAGTGCAGGGGGCTGGATAGATGACCTCTCAAGATACCTTTCATCCTTCCATTTCTGTGATTCTATAACCCACCTACCTCTATAAATTCTAGATGCCTAGGACTGCAGGTAATACACACTGTCACATGTTCATTAGGGAACAACTATAATTCCTGAGCATATATAGCATGATGTGACTGTGGATAGACACATAATCTGTTCCTCCCAGGACACTTTAAGCAACACACTCAAATATAATTGCTCATCATCTTGATTAGACTTTTTTTAGCTGTCAGATAAACCAGCAATGCCAGATGCCAATATATTTTAAATTACCCAGGCAAGTTGGCTTCATATAATGTTTCTAATTCAAGTGCAGCTGAGAGGTTTTGGGGCTTTTTTAAAAACACCAAATGACTTGGCAGATTTCTGTATTACTTGCGGCTAAGCTTAGGACCAGAGACTGTATAATGCCAAAGCCAGAGAGAATTTGCCAGCAGCCCATGGAGCACTAGCTGATCATATAGTGCTGGCTACTTCCTCTCTTTTTATGGAGGCATTGAAGAGTCTGGGTGTCCATAGAAGTATTTGTTAAGAAGGATGGAAAAAGCACAGAAACTTCAAAGGGACACTGCAACCATAATGAGAAGAAGCGGAGGAGATGCAGAGGAAGCTGCATTTTCTTTTGAAAAATTTACCCCAGATCTTAGTGTTTCTGCTAATCTATTCTGTAACGGCTATGCTTTTGCCTTGAGTAAGGTTAGGAGGAAATGGGCCTGATTCTTCATTGCCCAGCAGCCTGTGTAGATATTTACTCCAGTAAACTTTTTAATTGTACGTGTAGTTAAGAACAAATAAGCTTCCACGGAAGACTGTGGAATCCCCATTACTGAATATTTTTAAGAATAAGTTGAATAAATGCCTGACAGGGAGAGTCTATGTTTAGTTGGTCCTGTCTGATGACAAGTGTCTGAACTTGATGACTTACTGAGCTCCCTTTTAGCCCTACTTACATTTCTATGAAGCTATGAAGTAAGAGCAAAATCAGTGTGAAGTGTGACTGGATCAGAAGGTTACTGTTTTACATGCACTTTGCAATGGCATAACAACAGCAGAATGTCCAAAAGTCTCAGTTCTCTCCATTGGTGAAAAAATAACATTAATATTTCTGAAAGGGAGAAAATGCTGCATTTTTGCTAAGAACAAATTTCTGCAAAAGCAAAGGACATATAGCTGAGTGAGTTATCGAAGTTTAACCTACTTTGCTGGGTGACTGAAGCGCGTTGTAGGAAAATACTCCATGACTGAGACATACACATATTCTTCTGCATCATTTATAACATCTATAATAGAAATAAGATCTGGAGTGCGGCCCTTTGGGCAAAATGCCGGAGGAGAGGCCTGTAAAGGAGGGAAACAAAGTCTGATGATTCTCATACCTTTCTCTGTCCTGTTCCACAACTTACATTTTCTTTCAACAAACTTTGATTTATATTAACCTCTACTCGGTTTTCATTACATATACAGAACTTCCTGACTTGTATTCATTTACAGGATCATGAATTGTTAAAACAATTTGTAGGTTCTAAAACTGGACCCAAAATCACAGAATATAATCAATGTGTCCTGCAAATAGCTACTACCCTAAGGAAGAAACCATATGAAATATGACAGTAATTCTGTATTTCAAATCTACTAGCCATTACAAGGTAATAAAAAAAGATATAAAACCATCATGGCCTAGACCTGCAATAAACTATTTACTACAGGCCAGATTTTGCCATTCTTACGCTGAGTAATGGATTAATCCTGAAGTAGTCCCATTCTGAACTGTAAATTACCACATAATATGAGTAACCCAGGGCAGGATAGAGTGCCTGGTTCTATATCCCTTACTTGTGTTGCATAGGCATGGGCTGTCGGTGCAGCTAGGGCTGGGGGAGGCAGGCCCCTAGCCCCACTTATAGACCTGCCCCCTGCCAGGCCCCACCCCCATCACAGAGAAGAGGAAAGGGGAGGCAGTGTGCTAAGTGCGCATGCCCCCCCCCCTCCACCACGGGGAAGGAAGTGGGTGAGCACGCGCAGGCATGTGCCCCAGCATCCCCAGTCTGGAGCACTGGGGAGGGAGGAGGCCATGTGATCCAAACCTCCTCAGCCCCAGAGCACTGGGGAGGAAGGAGGGCAGGGAAGGCAAGCGCTGGGGATAGTAACACTCCACCCCCAGAATACCGACAGCAGGTGTTCTGGGAGCGAAGTGTGGGCTGGGCCATGCCTAGTGGTTTGGGAAGGCAAAGCCTTTCCCCACTGAGGCTAGTGGATGCCTATGTGCATAGGGCCTTATTCCATGCGTAGTCCCACTGAACCTTTGGAATAAGGTGCTACTCAACCTGAGAGCTTGTCTTCACTATGCAGGAGATCGACGCTGCCATAGTTGATCTTCCAGAGTTTGATTTAGCAGGTCTAGTAAAGACCTGCTAAATCGAACTGAGAGGTTGCCCCCATCAGCACCAGTATTCCTGCTCCTGCTAGGAGTAAGGGAAGCCAATGGGAGTAATTGCTCCCATCAACCTATTGCTATGGGGACGGTGGGAAAACTTGAATTAGGGTACAATATCACCAGCTACGTAATTAACCTGGGCTGAGTAAAGTGTAACTAAGCCTGCGTGAAGAGAGAGATACAGAAAATGACATTTCTGGGGAAATAGTTTGGAACAGTTTACAAAAAAGATTTTAATTTAAAATCTGCTTACAGAAAAATAGGCTGTTGTCAAGGTACCATTAAACTGCACTTCCAGAGGCCTATACTTGTTAATTTTGGTGGAATAATTGCTTGGCCATGAGGAGGGAACGGTGGCATTTGCGTGTCCAAGATCCCAATATGTTCTAAATGTTTTCCATAGATCTTTGGCTAAGCAGCTGCAGTTGTATATCACAGCACCAACTTCTTTTACCTGCAGAGAGAGTAAACATATATCAAAAACCATTCCCTTACACCTCAAAGGATTTCTTGACCCCACCCTGTTTTCTTGGTGTGCCCATATTATATATTATTATCAGATGTTAGCATGGAGAACTATGATTGGTAAAATATGTGCATGATAAATACATGGCTCTGAAATTTATCCCATGGATATCATTTCCACCATGTGTATCGAGGTTAAATTTATGTTTAGCAATCTAAAGTACATCTGACCTGAGAAAATGACCTCCAGTCCATATTTGCACTGCCAATATACATGTGTTTCATGTCTACAATCCAGAATTTAGAATGCAGCACACCTTTGGTCAAATGTCCAAAATTTATCCTTCTTACATGAGCCCCTAAGGAAAAATATTGGATAAATGGGAAAAAGTACATTAGCTAAAGTAATTCCCAACATTATTTTTAATTTTAACATAAAGAATATAGTCTATATTATTCTTGTGGTGACCAGAATGTATATGGATTTCTAGTGCTTGTTTGTATAATATAAATGTTGAGCATTTGTATAATATATGTATATTTACTAAAGCTTAACTTTCAGAAAAGTAACTTAAATGTATCAATATATACAAAGGACCCAACCTAGCACAACTCTTAAGCACAATCTTAATTTTAAGTAGTCTTGTTGTTTACAGATTAAGCATGACCTGAATTAGGTTTTAAGAGTTCAGTTTCACATTGGTCCTTGCTTACCTTATTGCTGACCTGAAGAGGCAATATGAATTACATAGTTACCTTTTTCCTTCAACACTTTAAGGTCAGTTGAATTTACAGCTAAAGTTGGCAAGCTTGTTGCAATATACACCGAGACATTCTCCATAAGTAAACTTTCAAACTTCTTCAGAATATCTTCACCCTGCATATAATGCACCACTCATTATCCTGCACGACAATAAGAAACAGCAAGGACCTTCTAAAATTAGGTGCTTCTTTTGAAGGAGACACACACAATTCAAGGGTGGGATTGTTTAATCTTTCAGTGCATTTCAGCTAGAGACGGACTAAAGACACAAACAAAAGAGTCAATTGATCTGGATAGGGAACCTTTTTTGGGTGGGGGGGGGCGCTGACCCACAGAAAAGTCAGTTGTGGGCCACATACAAGTGAAAAGCCAAATAAAAATGTCAGACTCTCACTGACGTGGCCCCTGACTGAGTAGGAGAAAGACACTCCCCACTTTTCCCTTGCACACCAGAGCCTAGGTAGGGGGACCCAGGCTGGTAGATTTTGTGTGCTCCAGTCCTGTAGTAGGCATAGGCTCCACAATGTGAGGGCAGAAGGAGAGCCCTGAGCCCCAGGGGCCACATATAGGTAAACCGGGGGCGGGGAGGAGCAAGCCTGAGGTTCCCCATGCCTGCAATTGATTAATACAATTTATTTCCTACTGGTTAATATCATTAGCAGGAAGGTCATTACAGCCAAAGAGAAAACATTAGAACTGAAATATGTCTTGAGTTCCAAGACAAAATGCAAACAGCAACAAAAACTACTGGCTGCTATGTAGCACTTTAAAGACTAACAAGATGGTTTATTAGGTGATGAGCTTTTGTTGGCCAGACCCACTTCCTCAGATCAATATGTGGAAGAAAATTGGCACAACCATATATACCAAAGTGATACAATCAAAAAAATGAACGCATGTGAAATTGACAAATCAAATTTTTGAACAGAGTGGAGGTGAGGGGGGAAGGTTAGTTTCTGTGAGGTAATGACATAGGGGTCATAATTGGGGAAGCTATGTAATGGGTGAGATAATTAGAGTTTTTGTTTAAACCTATACATAAAGTGTCAAATTTAAGCATGAATGACAATTCTGAAGCTTCTCATTGAAGTCTGGAGTTAAAGTCTCTTTGCTGTCTCCTTAAAAAACTCCCCACCTCTACTCAGGACCAAATCCACACAGACACACCTTCTGAACCCCGACCAGGATTGTTCTATCTGCTTCCCAAAATCCATAAACCTGGACACCACGGACACCCCATCATCTCAGATATCAGCACTCTCACTACTGGATTATCCAGCTATGTAGACTCTCTTCTCAAACCCTACGCAACCAACACTCCCAGCTATCTCTGAGATACTACTGACTTCCTGAGAAAACTACAAAACATTGATAACCTCCCTGATAATGCCATCCTTGCTACCATGGATGTAGAAGCTCTCTACACCAATATTCCACATGAAGACGGATTACAAGCAATTAGAAACACTATCCCAGAGGATACCACTGCCAATCTGGTAGCAGACCTAAGTAACTTTGTTCTCACCCACAATTATTTCCAATTTGGTGACAACTTATACCTCCAGATCAGCGGTACAGCCATGGGTACCCGCATGGCCCCACAGTATGCTAACATCTTTATGACTGACTTAGAACAATGTTTCCTCAGATCCCATCCCCTTTTACCCCTTCTCTACTTACGCTACATTGATGACATCTTTATGATCTGGACCCATGTCCAAGAAACACTGGAGACATTCCACAGAGACTTTAACAACCTACACCCCACCATCAATCTCAGCCTGGACCATTCTACACGAGAGATCCATTTCCTGAACACCACAGTACAAATCACCAATGGTAAATTAGACACCACTCTCTACAGAAAACCCACTGACTCCTACAGTTACCTACATGCCTCCAGCTCCTATCCAGGACACCCCATACAATCCATCGTCTATAGCCAAGCCCTTAGATACAATCGCATCTGCTCTAATCCCACTGACAGAGACCAGAAACTTCAGGATCCCTACCAAGCATTTTTAAACCTCAATTAGCCACCCAGAGAAATAAAAAAACAAATTGAAAGAGCCAGACAAATACCCAGAAACCATCTACTTCAAGACAGACCCAGGAAAACCAACAATAGAACACCACTTGTCATCACCTATAGCCCCCAACTTAAACCCGTCCAACGCATTAACAATAAACTACAACCTATACTGGAACAGGATACTACACTGCAAGAAGCTCTGGGAGACAGACCCATCGTCTCCTATAGACAACCACTTAACCTCAGGATGATTCTTACCAACAACCACAGGACATATCACACTCATACCAACCCTGGAACTTTCCCTTGCAACAAACCCCAGTGTCAGCTTTGTCCACATATTTACTCTGCTGACACCATTATTGGACTTAACCATGCCAGTTACAAGATCAAGAACACATATTCCTGTTCATCCAGAAATATAATTTATGCCATCATGTGCCTAAAGTGTCCATCTGCTGTGTACATTGGACAAACGTCTCAGACACTTCGCCAAAGAATCAATGGACACAAAACAGACATAGACTCTCTCACAGAGAGAAAGCTGTTGCTTGCCATTTCAGCCAGACTGATCAATCCCTCAATTACCTTAAAACATGCATATTGCTTCAAAGAGATTTTAACTCCAGACTTCAACGAGAAGCTTCAGAATTGTCATTCATGCTTAAATTTGACACTTTATGTATAAGTTTAAACAAAGACTCTAATTATCTTACCCATTACTGAGCTAATGGTATTAGAGGTGATAATTGGGGAAGCTATCTTGGTAATGGGTAAGGTAGTTGGGGTCTTTGTTCAATCCCTCTGGAGAGTGTCGAATTTTAACATAAATGACAGTTCAGAGGATTCCCTTTCAAGTGCAGATGTAAAAGGTCGTTGTAGCAGAATGCTATATGTGTTCACTTTTTTTTAATTGTATCCTTTGGTATATATGGTTGTGACTATTTTCTTCCACTATTTGATCTGAGGAAGTGGGTCTGGCCCACGAAAGCTCATCATCTAATAAACCATCTTGTTAGTCTTTAAAGTGCTACATAGTTCTGTCTTTTGTTTCAGCTACACCAGACTAACACAGCTGCATCTCTATCACTATTCTACTGGCTGCTGATACACTGAATTGATGTTCTGAATTATTTGTCTCTGAGGATGAAAGTAGAAGGGTTTATAACAGGATGAGTTGGCCCTTTACGAAGGTAGGGGTCTCATTAGCTCCTGTGCTACATGTCTCTCTTTTCCTGGGTGGAGTAAATGAGAGAAGTCATGTGACGGGCAAGTCCTAGGAGGGAGGGATAAGAGCAGCCTGTGGGTCAGGGGAGAGAAAGAGAAGTACTGGGAGGGTAGACAATATCAGAAGGAACAGCAGGGGAATTCTCAAGGCTGGAAATCCACAGAAGAGGGTGAGCATGGATACCTCCTAGACTGCCACCTACTAAGGTGAGGCAGTGATCTTTGCAAACAAGTGGCAGCCACACAAAGACTGAATAGAGCCCAGGAGGGGGCAGAGCTGAGCGCAAGGGAAGGGCAGGTTTGGAAGAGAAGAGACTCTTGGGAAAGGAAGGGCTGTGCCCAGCTTCGGGTCAGGGTGGGAGACTATTGCTTTTGTGTTTGCTTGGACTTTGGTACTCTGGAAGAGGTGGCCTTCTCGTTATTCGTATGGAGGTCTACATCACCTCTGTCGTGTTAGGTTCTGAAGGTCAAGAGAATGACATGAGATGGCAGTCAGCTGAGGCAATGGAGAGGTCTGGGTAGGTGCACTGGAACCAGAGTGGGTAGGTGCACTGCTCCAAGGATCATATGTGAGTTTATTTTCTTGGTTTGCTCATACCTGTTCAGAAGAGGAATCATTTACATTTATATCTTCTCCTTTCAGAGACCAGTAGTAAGAAGCCACATGAATTCTTTCCTGTGTCATGTTGAGGAGACCCATCCAGGCTTGGTACAAGGGTTTCATAGTGGTGCTATTTGTCTCATAAGCCATGTCACATGGAATACTTTCCACGAGTTCAAAACTGCAATGGCAATTGCATATCATGAGACAAACATTCGTGTACTGAGTTGTTAATGCAGGACACGGAAGAATATTCCTCTCTATGTGCCACAGACTGTTTGCTTTCTCTAGTTTCTGTAATCCCATAAAATGTGCTATCAGAAGGATAAATTATCTTCCCAAGTTAGTGGTGCTTTATAAACCATTGCAGTATGCTGCTTTGCTATCTTCCACCTTTTGTTAACATTATGACTATTTCTCCATCAGTTAATTAACTCTCTCTACAAACAATCAGATCTGGCTTACTTGCATGAATCATTACATGTATTGACATTGTCCTCGTTAGTCATCTTGTCTTCCAAGGTATCTCCAAAGACTCGTTGCTCCTCCATCTGCTGGTCAATGCTGATAATGGTTTCTTGGTCTTCTGGAAAATCTATGGTGACTGGTTTTATCATGTAAATGGCCATCAGGACAACAAACCCAACTATTGAAATCACTGATATGAACTGGAACTAGAATAGCATTCATGTTAGATATGGTTTATCATAGCTGAAAAGCCTTCCAAGAGCCAGTAATAGTGTAATGGCTATCTACCACTTTACAAATATGTATCTGAATGTTAATTCTGCTTTCATCTATTATCAAATCAGGTCATTTGCACCACGTACATCAATCAAACCAAGAACCCTGAACTTGGGGCTGATTTTACTTTTTAAATGTTATTATATGTCAATACACTAAGAATCCTTTGCTTACCCAAGATTTATTTGAACATGTTTTGTCTTTAACACAAAAGCAGTAGACATTCTTCTGTAATGCAGCTTGAAATATGGAGTCATAAGCATAATAGGTATATGTACAAACCCAGAAGAAAAAACAACAAGCAGTTTTGTAATTCTATAAATACAAGTCAGAAACCGAAAGCCATTTTGTGGTTTCAGGCCATAGCTTGTTTTTAGACTGCTATAACTCAAATGCCACTTTGGAAAGTGGAACTTAGCAAACCATTAGCCCTTGAGGTTGATACTGTTCCTCTTTATGCTTTCATTTTGGTTTAACAGCTTGGTGTTTCTATGTCTTTTCATAACTAGAATGTATGGGGAACGTGATTATATATACAGGCACAGTCCATGCATGCATTGTGAAACTTACAACACAATGCTGACCTCTATATGACTGTTCTGGATTAAAGGTATTGAGCAAGGCAGCAATAATTGTAAATGTTAGAATCATTTTTACCTAATTATGCCCAGACCCTCAAAGGTTTTTAGGCATCTAACTCCCATTGATTTCAACTCCATAGAGTAGCTCTTGAAACTCTGAGGAGCTGAGAGAGTTTGGCCCCTTGCGGAAGGCACTCAACTCCTCACAGACTCTGGGCTCTAGAACCTCCAGAATGTGCACCTTCCTTTCTCGCTTCTTTGCAAATGCTTGATAAGCCCTGAGCATAAACGTGAACAAACTAACATAAGTGTAAGTAATAGAAAGAAGTACAATTATTCATCTGGCATCTTAGATTTTAATCATTCTAAGAATACAGCTAAAATACCATTTGTATAAATGTCTGCTTAGTTTTAATTTGTTTAATTTTTGTGTAAATTTGCGAATGTTTCCAATGCTTCTCAGGTGAAGGGTGAAGCCTTGTATAAAACAAACCCATGTAAGACGAGTATTTTGGCCTGTAATAAAGCTAACTGATTACAGATGGAGCATCTAATAAGGAATGGCGTGACTAGCACTGCATTTCCATTCTCACAGAAGTCAATTGCAAAATTCCCATTGATCTCAACAAGGTGAGGATTTCACCCGATAAATGTGAATGGCATGGTTTATATTGGGTTTACAAAAGAAGAAATCTATATTGAAGACAGCCATGTCAGTGATTCTGCCTAGTAGCAATATGCCAGAGTGCTGGCAGCAAGGTTGGATGGACAAAATAAATCTAATGGATTGTTAATTGATGATTAAATCATGGGGACCAATTATCCCTGTAGAAGAAACATGCACACACAAGGTAAGGCCCTATGAATTACTTTATCTCTTTAAATACAGGACAAGTGGTACATTGGCATTGCAGATGAATTTCATCTGCTATATTACATGGGGCATTTTAAAGAGTAAATTCACAGTAAGATCATTGAAATCAGTAGCCCAGATTCTCAGCTGGTGGGCAGTTTCCCTTATAAGCTGAGTTCTTGGGCAGCCACCCACAAGAGATTCAAATGCTGCCCAGCTGATTAGCAGAGCGCTCATAGCCACCCACAGCCATCAGTATATGTTTCTATGGGTGGTGCACATCTACACATACGTTGGTGTACATAAAAATGTATTCCGCACATGGGTGGAAAAAGTTAGAAGGAACATTGGTGGTGGGTAAATTGGCAGGTCTCCGTTGACTTCAGTTACCCATGCTGATGTTCACTAGCTGGACATCTGGTCCACTAACTTTGTTTCTTTACCTATTTGCCTATCACAGTCAGAACTGAGCACCAATGAAGTACATAGGACTGTAAGCACAAATGAGGGTCACTCTCTCGAGCAAAGGCTGCAGGACTGGTCTCTATATTGTCACACACCAAGGAGCTGATTAGGGCCCTGGTCACGTCAGTGAGGATTATGGCCACTGTCTTTGCTGCAAGCAGGCTGAAAGCCAACTTGTAATTCTAAACTATACTAGGGGGCTTGCCAACCCCCCTCTCTCTGGCTGTGAAAGGGGAAGAAGCTAGAGAAGCTGATGACATCATTTTGTGACCCAGCAGGAAAAACCTTTGTATATATAGAGAGAGATAATAAAAATAATATTATTAAATTCCTTAATTTTTTTCCAGGCTCTTGATACAACGCTATGCATTCCAACTTCTCATTCACTACAATGCAGTGTATCAGAATACTTACCACTTTGAAGCCTTTTTGATCATTTGAGTTTAATCTCACATAGGAATATTCATTTAACAGCAAGGATTCTTTTGAAGCATTTTTGCCAGTCTGAAAAAAACATAAACATATGTACAGGTGGAAAATAAGACACTATAGCAACATTGGTAGAAAGCCTGTTACACAGAGAAAATCAGATTGCTGCAGTTGTACTTTATGGAGTTGTGAAAATGACAAATGTACAGAACAATCGTTGTATTATGGAACTTTGGTGACACTAATAGAGTCCAAAATGACACAGCATGGTTTTGTCTGCAGAGTGCATTCTCTGTCATTAATTTGTAAGGAAATGACCCCCTCGTTCTTCCAATCTCTCCTCAGACCTACTTCTACTATGGGGCCTACAAATAAATTAGCCAACTAATTAATGCCAACCCACAGAAGCTAGAGAGGATAGTGGATCTTTTTCACATCTAAATTATCCAACATTTTGCCTGTATATTTTGTCCTTCCCTACCCTGTGCACAGGGTTTGTCTTCTTAGACTATAAACTCCTCTGTGCTAATGGGACATGAACCGATGAAGTAAGTCTGGGGAAATCTGCAAGTTTCTTCTCTCCACTGCAGCCGTGTTCCAGGCAACTAGCTATCCTCAGTGCTCAGGCTACACTGTCCCCAGATGCAAGTGTCCTCCTGGTCTCCAACTGCACAGTAGCCCTGCTGTAGTGCTGTTCCCAGTCTAGCAGAGGCAACCCTCAGGAGTTGCAGAAAGTAGTGGTAACGGGGTGGGCCCATGAGGCTTTTGTAACAGTGCCATATCCCCTAGACAAGGGGTGGCCAACCTGAGTCTGAGAATCAGCCAGAACTTACCTAACAATGTACATTGCCAAAGAGCCATAGTAATATGTCAGCAGCCCTCATCAGCTTGCAGCCCCAGCACCTCCCACCTGCCGGCAGACCCAATGGTCAGCACCTCCCCCTCACTCACTCTCCACACCTCCCTCCCACCGCAATCAGCTGTTTCACAGCTGCACCCGGTGAACATTCACTCAGGTTTTTTTACCCACAATCAGTAGTGTGGAGTGACTCTCTCCTTCCCTCCCCCCAACACACACACACACACACACACACACACGTTGTTGCAGCAATTGGCATCAGTGTGCTACGGCTACATAAAGGGCAGCACCACCCCCCTCCCTGCAGGACAGCAGTGACCCCAGAGGCCTGGACCCTCTGTGAGCTGCCATCGCATTCCCAGCTCCCCATCCCCATGAGGCGGATAGTAATCCTACAGGCATGGGCCTTCTCTGCCCAACCGCCTGCAGCATTGTGCCCCCGTTGAGTTGAGAGGTCACATCTACCCCTGCCTTTCCATTCACTTCACATGCCTAAAGTTCAAACTCACTCCTGATGTCAGTATAATTACCACCGAGGTGAATTTGGCCTTCAGGGGGCACTAGGCATTTGTAGGCCTTCAGAAGCAAAGAGCACATTCCGAGGAATGGCAGATTCAATGATGATAGGAGCCAGGATGGGCCACGATGGCATGAGCATCTATTCTGGCCTTGTATCTGCTTTCTACAGCCCCTGGCCCTGATCCATCATGTATTTACAACACAGATTGCTGGTAGGCACTGACTTTCAATAGCTGGATGGTGTGAAGGAAAGAGGAGGAGAAGATTTCTGGAAGCAATGGACAGTCAAGGAGCGATGGAGCTAAAAAGAAGATTTGGGGAAGGGAAGAGGCTCAGCCGAAAGAAGAGAATGGGATGAGAGGGTAGAAACAGGAGAGCAAAAAACACAGAAGGGGAGGAAAAAATGAGGGAATACAACCATGTGTGATAAACCACAGCCCATGCAGCCACAGGAAGGAAAGCTGTGATTGCATCTACGGGACTGGTTTTTATTTTAATCATGTTTATTATGGTAGTGACCAAAGGCCAACCAAGAACAGGGCCCCTTTGTGCTAAGCACTGTGCAAACACCGAGGGGGAGACATTCTCTGCCCTTACAAATAGACAAGACAGACACCAGGCCGGGAGTGGGGTTGAGAGTGACCCATATGATGGTGGCAAATGCCATCTTAGTTCCACCCCATTGTTTGAGATGTGGGTTTAGTTAGGAGGGGGCATTGAAGTGAAGGGAGGTGTGTGGGACAGACCAGGGAGAAGAGGGAAAGCAGGAGGGTGTGGAGTGAGGCTGAAGGGAAGAGATTGTGAGGCCTAGGCTGTAGAACTGGGGGAGGGACCCTGCCAGCCTATGGCCTCATCATTTTTCAGTAGGCGCATGAAAAACAAGGTTGCCACCTGGCTGGTTTTCTATTCTCAAGCCAGTTTCCTGTCAGGAGATGCACTCTGCTGTGGGTTGGGCACCTGTAGCTGTGTGCAGGGGTCTCATAACGGGTGGCTGAGCATGTCACTGCTGGGCACGTGCTGCAGATGACACTCAGGCCTTGATCTCTACACACAGTGGGCAGTGAGCTTCATGCTTGGCTCTTCCCTGCCAGCTGCTGAAACCACACCCTGGGAGAAGGTGGGTGTAGGAGCTCATTGGCCCGGGAAGAGTAGAGGGGCGGCTGTTGCTGGAGTAGGAGAGGTGCTTGTGAGGGGAAGAACAGGGGCAGTGCATAATGGAGGCTGAGGGAGACTAAGCCTCTGCAAACCTCATGCTGCCATAGGGGGGACAGTGGCAGATTATCACACAGACCCACAAGTCCTGTGCCCAGGGTCCCAGGCCAATTTGAGGTCCCCAGAAAAATGTCGTCCTGCCCAGCCCTGGGACTAGAGGAGTGGAACAGGCTCTGGGCCAAGAGCTCTGCAATGGTCCCAGCTGGGGCAGCACTCTCAGCTCCCCACTGCCCTGGCCAAGTCCAAAGGAGCTCAGAGCAGTGAGCAGGGCCAGGGCCTGGGCTGGAAGAGGCAAGGCAGGAGGCTAACCTCACCAAGGGGAAGATTCAACCACTGTCCATAGGGAAGAAGAGGTTCAGGTGGGGAGGAGGGCAATGTAACTCCCCACTTTCAATGGCACTCTGTAGCCCCTGCTGGGAGCGAGGGGGACACAGCAAGCCACCGCCACCTGGGGGATGTTCCGGTTGCCACGGTCCAGGTGTGCGAGGAGACACCAGAACCTCCCTTTTAAACAGCCGAAGGCATCCTCCATAACAATGCAGCATCTGCTCAGCCTGGCATCGAACCAAACCCTGGTGGGGTCCAGGTGTCCTGTGTTGGGCTTCTTTAGTCAGGGGAGCAAAGGGTAGCCTGCATTTCCCATGATGCACATGGGCATGTCGATGCCCCTAACCCTAATGGTGCAGTCAGGGGAAAAAAGTGCTGGCATGAGTCCTATGGAACAAGCTAGAGTTCCTAAAGATGCAGGCTTCTTGCACCTTCCCCGACTACCCGAATTTAATGTCTGTGAATCAGCCTCGGTGGTCCATGAGGGACTGCAGCACTATTGAAAAGTACCCCTCCCTCTTGATATAATTGGAAGAGTGGTGTTTGGGGGCGCGGATGAGGATGTGGGTGCCATCAATGCCCCCCCCCCACACACAGACAGTTGAGGAAGCCCATGAGAGCAAAGCCAGTGATGATGGGGTCCATGTTGCCAAGGAGGATGACCCTACTCAGCAGGATGGCATTGATGGCCCTCACCACTGCAGAATGATAGAATAGTGGAATCACGAGGTTGCCAGAGCCCTCAAAAGGTCCCTGAGCCCAGCCCCCTTCCCACAGTGGGAGCAGCCCCAACAACCGCATCTCTGGCAAGGCTTTGTGAAGGCAGGACTGCAAAACCTCCAGGGAGGGAGAGTCCACCCTCCTTTCCCTGGGGAACCCCATTCCAGTGCTTCACCACACTCCTAGGACAATCATAAGAGAGACAAACCTGCTTGAGCACAGCTCCAATGGTCGATCTCCCCATGCTGAAATGGTTCCCGATGGAGCGATAGCTGCCCAGCATGGCAAGCTTCCAGATAGTGACGGTGACCCACTTCTGGAGGTGAATGGTGGGTCACATATGGGTGTCTCATTGCCGGAGGGCAGGAGCAAGCCACTCACAGAGTTCCAGGAAGGTGGCCTTCTGGAGCCACTGCTACTTGTCCTACCTCTCCATGAAGATCCGGTCCCACAAGTTGGAACTGGTGTCCAGTCACCAGGAGCAGAGGTACACGGTGTACAGGGGAGTGTGGGAAAGGTCGTGCTGCATGAGAAGCACCTGGAGTAGAGTGAGGAGGTGCCCTACAGCAGAGTTTCTCAACTTTTATTTTTAAAAAGTACCCCTCTAAAAAAATTATAAGTACCCCCAGTACCTATAGTTTTCAGACACACATTTTTTTTCTACCATTGCAACACACTTGTTTAAACAACTTAATCATAGCCGGGTGGGTGATGAAATTTTTGGGTGTAAAAAGTACAAAAATAATAAAGCGCTGTAAAACTTAACACAAACATTCAGTTTTCTCCAAATTTCAGTTGTGTTGACGTACCCCCAGACTTCTCTCGAGTACCCCTAAGGGTACTCGTACCACTGGTTGAGAAACACTGCCCTAGAGTGAGCTGCTGGTCCTGTTCCTGCAGTGCCACGTGGGCAGCCTACAGTCACTGCGCCAGGAGGCACGACATGAAGTCTAAGAGCCGGTGGGTGCTTTGCAGCTGGTCTGGCTCTATGACAGAAGTGCTGTGGCATCCACAAAGGCAACCAGAGCCCACAGTGAGAAGAGTTTGCCCTCCCTCAAGGAGATAGGCAAAGGTGGAGAGTCTGAGACACAGCTGTAGAGGGGAGCCCCTTTAAGCACAAGCCTCAGCTAGCCTCAGGCAGCAGCTCCAGGAAGTAACTGCTGTCCGGATACCCTGCCCAGATTGCTTCCCGGGATATTTGTGTGCGCCCGCCAGGTGCTCGGGGCTGGCCTGGCCCCGGGCACGTGGCTCATGAATGGTGCCGGAGCTGGCCCGGGTGCATGGCACACGGTGAGCGCTGGCCCCGGGCGCATGGCACACGGTGAGCGCTGGCCCCGGGAGCGCCGCGAATTGGCCACCCGCGCTCTGGGTGCGCGGTGCATGGGGGGACCGCCAGCCCCGGGTGCATGGCGCTTGGGGGGGGTCCCCGCCCTCTGGCGCCCGGCAGGCAAATGGCCACGCCTCCTGGCGCCCGGCAGCATCAAATGGTTGGGAACCACTGGTCTACACTGCAGGGCTTAACTCAAAATAAGCTATGCAAATTGAACTATGTTCATTGCATATCTTATTTTGAAATAGGGAGCATCTATGTTTTGAAACAGAGCACTCTTCCTCCGACTTCCCTTATTCCTCGTACAATGAGGGTTACAGGAGTTGGAATATGAAGACCTCCAGCTTGACAGCATTTTGATACTACAGCCTCTCCACGAGTTACGAACAAGTTTCGGACCAAACGCTTAGCCGTAACTCGAACTGTTCGTAACTCAGACCCCATTGAGTTACATGGCGACCGTGCTGCTCGTAAGCGCAGATCGCGTTCGTAACTCAGGTACCGCATTTACGACCGCTTTGGTCGTAAATGCGAACAGTCGTAATTCGACCGTTCGCAACTCAGGGACCAGCTGTATTTAAAAATAACTGCTTCCTGTGTAGACACAGACAGTTATTTTGGAATAGGTTGCAGTGTAGACGTACCCTCAGTGTGGATGTGCTATTTCGACGTAGCGCTGTTCTATTTCTATGAGGATTTGTAATGTGGATGGGCTATTTCGAAAGAGCTATTTCAAGAGTTATTATTAGACATACCATTAGACCCCTTCGATCCCTTTCCCCAGTACTCCTTCCTAGGTAGTCATTTCCCATTTTATTTGTGTGCATCTGAATGTTCTTTCCTATGTGGAGAACTTTACATTTGTCCTTTTTGAATTTCATCCTCAGAACTTCATACCTCAGACCATTTCTCCAGTTTGTCAAGATCATTTTGAATTATAATCCTACCCTCCAAAGCACTTGCAACCCCTCCCAGCTTGGTATCATCCGCAAATTTGCTAAGTGTATTCTCTATGCAATTATCTAAATTACTGATTAGAATATTGAACAGAACAGGTTCCAAAATTGATCCCTGCGGAACCTCACTTGTTATGCCCTTTTAGCATGACCGTGAGCCATTGATAAGTACTTTCTGTCATCTGAAGAAGTGGGCTGTGCCCATGAAAGCTCATGATACCATCCACATGTTTTATTAGTCTTTAAGGTGCTACTAGACTATTCGTTGTTTTTTAAGTTTTTCCTGTTACAGACTAACTCGGCTTCCCCTCTGAAGTTTTTTGGGAATGGTTATCCAACCGTCTTATAATATCTCCATCTAGGTTGCATTACTCTAGGGTATTACTGAGAAGCTCCCCAGGGCGGAGGGGGACATTTTTCTGGGGGCCCCAAATAAAACTATACCTATTACACGAGCTGAGGATGTGGCCCCAAATTTTAATTTTCTAAAAAAGAAAACATTCTGCACTCAAGCAGAGCTCTTAAAAAAAAGCAGAAGTAATAGCTCAGTAAGGAACCACAACTTAACAGCTTCATTTGACTTTGGTGAACTTTAGTCGCTGAAAAAAACTGATACACTTCAAAGTATAAAAGACTTATTACATTTTCCATATCAGATTTCAACAGGTGGAGTAATACTAGACTACCTGGATATACAAGGATTGGGGCATTTATAGTGTTAGGTTGGGTTTTTTCTCTCAAAAATCTCCTTTGGTGGTGTCATATTAACGGACTCTTCAGTAGGAATAGCAACAAAAGAGCCTCCGTTTAGCCTCCTGATGCATGTTTTTCCTCCATGAGAAATGAACTGTTTCAATTTCCGAATTTCAAACACTTACAAAGAGGAGTCAGTAGAATAAAACACCCTCCCCAAAAGTTGTTGCATGTGCATCCCATGAGTAAGGTGCTCACCCTGTTTCACAAAAGTACAAGGTAATGGCATAATATTTCCAAGTACTTACCATCTTGGGAGACTGCTGTGAAAATGCTCTGCCTTCTGTGGATCAGGCACCCAGCTGCAGTTATGGCAGTCAGCAGACAACACCTCCTGCAACAGAGTTGTCCTCCTCTCTCCCCCTCCCACATTTGCTTTTTGCTGTAGATCACTTCCTCTTCTGGGCTGGAGTTTCACAAAGCCCATAAACAGATAGAGATCCCAAGTCACTGTCTGGCTTTGCCTATCTGAGTGACAGCTCAGATTTTGGGGCCCAATCCTCAGCTGGTGTAAATCAGCATAGTTTCCACTGAAATTGCTTTCCAAATGGCCCATAGAACCCTGCTGTTTTTGCACTAAATAGCAACATTTCCACTGGCTTTAGTGGTGCACAATCAAATCCTAGGTCAGCACTGAAAGTCCACCGAGAAAGGCTATGTCAGGGGTACTGAGGCAGTGTCCATGTGAAATGTTCAGCAGATTTATTTCAATAATGTCAACTCTTATTGCACTTAGCACAAGCTCTGAGGGCCCAATCCTTCAAGGCGCCAAGTAACAAGGTGTGCTGAGCAGTGTTCCCTCTAATGGTTTTTCATCCATGTGCGGAATAAAGTGTGTTGTGTGCACCAAAGGATGTGTGGCTGAGCACCACAAATAAAAACACATGCTGCCAGCTGTAGGCACTGTGGGTGCTCTGCTAATCAGCTGGGTAGTACCTGAATCTCTCCAGGGTGGCCACCCAAGTGCTCAGCTTACTTGAAACACTGGTGCTGAGTACCCTGAACTCCCATTGACTTCAGTGGATGCTGAGGGGCCTTAGCATGCCCAGGAATTGTTTACATCTTGCAGGATTGAGGGCTCAGTGCATTAAAGTTTTAAAATGCACTTCCGGCAAAATCCTGACCCCAAAGGCAGGCCTTCCATACCCCATCCCTGGGCCCTGCCTCTTGACCACCACTCCTGTCATGACCAGGAGAGATGGGCAGCAGCCTGGGGACTAAGGAGTTAACTGTGCTTAGCCAGGTATCTGCTTAGCCAATAGAAAATGCATATAGGGATTTCAAACTGAGACAAAGGAATTTTGGGGTTTTTCTCTTTTTGGTCCCAGAGTAGTTTCTCTCCAGCTACTGAGGGGGCCAGACAAAATGTCTCTGCCCAAGAAAAGACTCTTCACTATCTGTAAGTAGGGTAAAATTTAGATAAATCCATTAGGTTTTATTGTTTTATGGTTTGGGAATGGGAATCTGATGTCTGTGCATTTAAAAATGGGGTTTCCTCTCCTTTGTAACTAACCTTTTGGCCCATTGGGGGGTTCCCCATGAGTATATTAATTGGTGACTTTTCCATCTAGTTAATACTTGTAACAGAATATTGTGGTGATAATAAAAGTTTTTTTTATTAACCTGATATTGTGTCCTGGTTTTTTTGTGTCCTGGTTTTACTTTAGGGGTGAGATTTCCCAAGTGATCTCTTCCCTGGTGTCCTTATCATTACTTGGGTGGTGGCAGTGGATTTTTATCCCCAAAATCTAGGTTTTTAAGATTTTGGGGGGAAGTTTTATACCAAAGCCTGGGAAGATAAGATTTTGGAGTACTTTTGTGGGCCCCCACTTCGGCATTTATTGTGCCAGAGTGGGGATTTGGCCTTGACAACTCGCCTCTCACGAGGTGTTTCTAGCACAACAGATGTAAAAAGGTTGAACCGAAGGCATAGAGTTGAACCGAAGGCATAGAGTTGAACCTGGCAGCAGATTTGACTGTATCTCAGAGGTGAAATCCTGGCCCCCCTGAAGTCTATGACAAAGCTCCCATTGATTTCAGGAGGGGGCTGGAATTTCTCCCCAGGTCGTAGCATGTACCACCCACTACTGGGCTGTGTGCAAAGCTTAATTCTGGTCCCCTATAGCACTGGAATTATCCTACGTTCCTTTCAAATCCAGATCGCTGCTCTGTAATTGGATTGTTCCTTTTGGCAATGAAAAGGGGCTTACTTGGAAAAATCCCCCAACCCATATTTTACAGGGGCCTCACATGAGAGGCCTGGTTTTCAGAAAGTGCTAAATACTCACAAGCCCCTGCGAGGTATTCTCAAGCCATAGATTCTAAAAGCACTAATTAAAGTTAGAAAATCCCTCTCCAGAATGACCTTCTTAGCTCCACGTGCATCAGACCTTTGGGAATCCAGGGTATGTCTACACTACAAAGTTAATTCGAACTAACCACTCTGGCCAACACCAGGGAAACTCTATTTCCCCCCTCCCGGCCCCGGACCCCTTAAAGGGGCACGGGCTGGCTACGATGCCCGTGCCAGGTGCAAGCCTGCCAGCACCCAGCTAGCAGACCCTGCACCTGGCACGGCTCAAACCAGC